CCAGCCCTATTTTTGTGAAGGGTTTTTCGAGATAAGGTCTCACAAACTATTTCTCCAGGCTGGCTTTGAACTGCGATCCTCCTGATCTCTGCCTCCTGAGTAGCTAGGATTACATACGTGACCAGTACCCAACAATCATAACATTTAAAATGTTGTTCCACCAGCACTCACTCTGTGGATGTCATCGAAAACTCTTTGTCAACAATTTTATTAAAAAAAATTTTTTTTTGTGGTGCTAAGCATGGAAACCAGGGTCTCACACATACTAGGCAAGCACTTTACCACTGAGCTACTTTCCCAGACCAACAATTTTATTTTATCCACTTATTTTTTTTTCCCCAACAACTGTATTTTAGATGATTGCCTAAGACTCTACCTTTTAGGAGCTGAGGTTTGCTCAGTGGTAGAGCATGTCTTAAGCATTCACAAGGGCCTGGGTTAAGTCCCCAGAACCAAAAGAACAACCACCACAATAAAAAAGACTACCTTACAGACATGACGTTACTTGTTTGACCATTCTCCATTGTTGGTCAGCCTGATTATGTACAGGAAGGTAGGGTAGCATTCAGTGGTGGAGTGCTTGTCTAGCATGTGCAAGGCCCTGAGTGTGATGCCTTGCACCAATAAAACAAAGAAAAACAAAGAACAACAAACAAACAAAAACAAAATATGTTTTAGCATTCTTGCAGAGATGCATAACTAGAGTCTCACTGACAGGGTTTTGCTATACAGCCCAGGCTGGCCTTGGACTCCTGATCCTCCTGCCATAAAACAATGGATTCTAAGATGCATAGTACTGGTACTCTGTGAACATTTGTAGCATGAAAGACAAAATCCAAAGGAAATTGTGCCAGCTTCCAGGATATTGGTTTAGACACTCCCCACCATGCACTTTTTAATTATTACTTTGTCTGAAGAAAGTCTGTTTTAGGTTGGTGGCAGTACCTCCTACTAATTCAGATGAAATATTTGGAAAGATCAATTGTTGAAGAAGGAATGGCAGTGTGAATCCAAGCACCACAACTGAAAAATAAACATCCAAGCTTTTCAGTTACTTAGTAAATTGAACTTAAATGACCTATTTTGAGAAGTAAGCATTTAAACCAGAAATGAGTGTACTGGTGGTGTATGTGTTGGGGGTGGGGAGGAGGGTGGTAAGTGCAGAAGTTTCTGCCTGGAAATTGATCCGGGGAATCATCCTTTGGTCTTCCTGTTAAAGATGATGCAATAGTTACCCTGAACACCCTGCATCCAAAGGATTGTCATGCTGGTTTGTAGCATGAACTTTGTGAGGATACATTTTCCTTTGCATTTTAATTGTCTTTACCTGGCTTGAAACATTTTTCTTTCCTATTTTCTTACCAGTTTGGTCACATGTAGTTAACTACTAAGTGATAATTGTTAGAAAAAGACTTCAAAGCAAACAGCAAGCACAAAAACCATTGAAGGAAAAAAGAACTTTTCCTTCTCACCAGAAATATTTAGGGTTTCCCCTAAATATTTTGGCACCCTTCAGAGAGAGAAAACTTTACATTTTTTACTAAAAACCCTAATCACTTATTTTGTAATTTCCTTCTTTTGTTATTTTACTGTCACCATCACTTGTTTTTAATCTGCTTTCTTAATTTTGTTTTTTTTTGGTTGGACTGTGGTTTGAACTCAGGGCTTCCTGCTTGCAAAGCAGACAGTCTATTGCTTGAGCCACACCCCCAGTTCATTCTTGCTTTGGTTATTCTGGGGATGGGGGTCTCTTGAATTATTTGCCTGGGCTGGCTTTAAACCTTCATCCTCTGGATTTCAGCTTCCCAAGTAAGTAGGATTACAGTTACTTCTTAATTTTTTAAATGAAACCTTCATTCAGTTCAATGGAGCACATCTGACTAAAATTCCTGAGATCTGGGGGGTTGACTCAAGGAAATGTACCACAAAGTTGCAGTGATTATCAATATATTGGTACAGTAGGATTATTTATAATTTTCCATCAGTGTTATTGACAAGGTTATTGATGGGAAAGTAAGAAATTGGAGCTCTAGCCTGGGCACTTACCACTCTTCTTGTGTGCTTCTGTTTTTTTGTGTGTGGGTATAAACTTAAGTGGGTTGTAGGTGTTTGCCAAATTTACATTTTTGTTGTTGTTGTTGTTGTTTGTTTTTTTTAATTGCAGTACCAGGGTTTGAACTCAGGGTCTACACCTGAATCCACTCCGCCAGCCCTATTTTGTGTTGGGTATTTTTGAGATAGGATCTCACAAACTATTTGCCTGGGCTGGCTTCTAACAGCGATCATCCAGATCTCTGCCTCCTGAGTAGCTAGGATTACAGGCGTGAGCCACCTGCACCAGGCACCAAGCTTACTTGCAACTTTAACATTCTGTAGGGCTACCTGAAAAGAAAATTTAGCATGATACAACCACAGCAATTTGGCTGTGACTTTCAAAATTATAAAAGCACATACTTGCTGTCTCAGATACTCCCTTATTTGTAAATTCCTGCCATATACTTGCTTAGATGTAAAATGACAGTTTTACAGAACTGTAAGGAATAGTAGCTATTCCTTACAGAACTAGTTTGTGATCCCTAAAGGTGGGAAATAAGTCAAATATGCACCAACACCTTATGGTTCAGTAAATTGATATTTAGACATAACAATATAAAAAAACTTTTAATATGTATGTTTAATTTTTTTGACCTGTGTCAGGGACACTGGTGCTTCAGGTTCTCTGAGCCTGCTTCAAGTCAAATTATTTTAAAAGACCCAATAAAAGCAAAATATAACTTTAAAAGCAATTAGTATTTTTTCCCCTATGGTGCTGTGGATTGAACCCAGGGCCTCCACACGTTAAGCAGGTATTCCACCACTGAGTCTCACCTCTAGCCCACACTACCACACTTAAGGAAGCAACTAGGCAGGATAGCCTCAGGGATTGCAAAGATTTGGGGAAAGTCTGTAGGAAAACTCCCTTCACCAAATACTCTCAGATTGAGGCCCTGAAAAACCGGACTAGAAATGAAGACAAGGCTAAATTCGCAGTTGGCTTCCTTTGCCAAGAATGATCCACTGGGGCACCGCCTATTTGTAGGGTGCGGCTGTGTGAATGGGGGAGCTGCTTCTGCAGAGTGTGATTGGAAAGGCTGGGAGAACCAAGAGTTGTACTTTGTGGTCTTTATTTGAGATCATCATCTGGGTTACTGAGGTCCCCTAGCGGCTGGCAGAGGACCACCAACCTGTCCAAATTTGACAGTAAATGTGAAGACACCTAAGGAAAGAAAGAGGTGGCAACCAACTCCTATCCCCAGAGTATCCGGTTCAGGGTTCCCACCCCACTCTCCCCCTAACCCGTAGAAGCTGTGATGACGAAATAAGGGCCCGGACCTGTATTACGGAGATGACAGAATGTAAAGGAAAAAAATAAATCTCTAAATCTTTTAAACTTTTGTAAGAGGCCTAATTTTCTTTACATGGCACTTTTTAAAATGAAAAATTACTTACAAGAAAGAAAAGAGATTTTTTAAATAGGGGGGGGCTATCCTTTCGGATAGGATGTTCAAAACCTTTCTATGTCCATCTTCCATCCTAAGTTATCCCATCCCTCTAAAAGGAAATGCCTTCCATATTCTTCCTAAAAAAACCAAAACCAAACCAAAACAAAACTTGAAAACTTTTTCTCCGCTCCATGAGACACAGGGCCATTGTCTTCCTACCTTTGGCCCCACTGATCCTGTACAGAACGTCCCGGACCAGGGAGCCCAGGTGGGGTGGGGGTGGGGGGTTGGCTGATTCACACAGCAGACAGCTTAAAGGAACCTGGGTGTGGGGCAGATTGTACCCCAAGACTTATCTCTTCTTGCATTTTCACTTAACACCTCATTACTTCGAGTCTAAGTAAAAAAAGAAGTAACAAGCAACCTGTTAAACTTAATTAGAGGTAATAAAGGGACAAGGTTGTCACCAAATACTCTTCGTTAACCCCTTCGCCACCACCCCGATTCCCGGTGGACGGAGCGAGGTTCCCGCGCTGGGAAAGAGGTTCCCACAGAGGGCACGAGGTCTAGGGTGCCTTTGGATCTGCGTGTGCGTGCGCAACACGAGTACCTTCTCCCCGAACCAAGCCCCCTGTCCTTGTTTCTAGCCTCTCAGGTCAAAAATGCAGTGCATCCGGCCGGTGGCTGCTGGGCTGGGCGACCGTCCCCGCTCAGAACCGAGTGGCGGAGGCTCAACTCCAGGGTGGGGACAGGTGGGACTGTGCGCGGCGGAGGCGGGGAGCGCGCCCTCCGCGCGGACTTGACCTCATGGGCTGCGGCGCCCCGGGGCAGGTGTGGGCGCGCGGGGGCCGGAGGACTTGACAGATCGCAGTGAAAGAAAACATTCCACAGAAACAAACCCCGCCGACTTCCCCAGGTTGTTCTGCAAAGACACCGTGGGTGGAGCCGAGAGGGGGCGATTGAGTGGAATTCCGTGAGGCCGCCTCCACCCGCCCACACTGCGCCCCCGGAGCGCGCAGCCTCCCCGACTCCACCCATCCTGTCCCGGTTCGGGCTCCGAGCGGAGGTCGGGCAGAGCGGGCACCTTGTCCCACTAGGGCTTCCAGAGTACTCGGCTTCGGCTCGTCTGTAGTAAACAAAAGTGTCGCCGCCTCCACGTTGGTTTGCCTCATAGCAATCAAAACACTGAGAGGGCGAGGGACTCACAGAAACACTCGAGAATTACCAGAAAATAATAGCAAATCCAAAAAAAAAAAAAGGAGAGAGAGAGAGAGGGAGAGAGAGAGAGAGAAAAGAGAGAGTGCGTATAAGCGAAAGAGAAAAACACCCCACTACCCCCCACCAACCCACTGCCGCCTCCCGGTGGAAAACCGGCCCCCGCCCAGGTGCACGCTCACTGGTTGCCTGGGTGGCGGTACGGCACGCCCATTGGTTATCCCGCTTGTCTGTCAAGGGCGGGTCGGCGCGCGCGCCGCCGCGGGCGGGGGGCGGCGGCAGATCCCGTAAGTCGGGCGACCGCGTAGTCGCTGCAGCCGCCGCCGCCGCCGCCGCCGCCACATTCAACAGGCAGCAGCGCTGCGGTCGCGAGGCCGCGAAGAGCAAGCGGCCCTCGCGGTCTGTCGTCCTTCCGTCCTTCCGTCCGCGGCCTTGTCAGCAGAAGCACGGCACCCGCTCTGCCCAGCCCCGCGGCTTCGGCCCGCCGTCCAGTTCGCGCAGCAAACCCGGAGGAGCCTGGATGTTGATGGACCCGCGAAGTTAAGTTCTGGTCTCGCTCTTCCACTCCGCCGTGCCTTCCTCTTGGTTTGCGTCCGCTAGCGACACCAACCTCGATCCCCCAAATCTCAGACCGGCTCTTGGCACCCCCTTCGCTTCTGTCCTTCCCCCCCCTCCGGTGCTACGTCTCCCCTTTCTTGGCGCTCCAGCGGCTGGGGGAGGGGCGGGGGTCACCATGGCCGAAGCGCCCCAGGTGGTGGAGATCGACCCGGACTTCGAGCCGCTGCCCCGGCCGCGCTCGTGCACCTGGCCACTGCCCAGGCCGGAGTTTAGCCAGTCCAACTCGGCCACCTCCAGCCCGGCGCCGTCGGGCGGCGCGGCCGCGAACCCCGACGCCCCAGCGGGCTTGCCCTCGGCTTCAGTGGCCGCTGTCAGTACCGACTTCATGAGCAACCTGAGCCTGCTGGAGGAGAGCGAGGACTTCCCGCAGGCTCCCGGCTCAGTGGCGGCGGTGGTGGCGGCGGCTGCGGCTGCCGCCACCGGGGGACTGTGCGGGGACTTCCAGGGCCCGGAGACGGGCTGCCTGCACCCGGCGCCCCCGCAGCCCCCGCCGCCCGGACCGCTGCCGCAGCATCCACCCGTACCCCCCGCCGGACCACTCGCGGGACAGCCACGCAAGAGCAGTTCGTCCCGCCGCAACGCGTGGGGTAACCTGTCCTATGCCGACCTCATCACCAAGGCCATCGAGAGCTCGGCGGAGAAGAGACTAACACTGTCGCAGATCTACGAGTGGATGGTCAAGAGTGTGCCCTATTTCAAAGATAAGGGCGATAGCAACAGTTCGGCGGGCTGGAAGGTGAGCGGCCTCGGGGCGCGTGGCCAGACCTTCCGGGCGCAGTGGGGCAGGTGAGGGGGCGGTTGTGTAGGTTTGTTCCGCCTGAAAGCGCAGGGCAGGAGGGCAGCGCGTGTCACAAAAAGTGGCGACAGGTGGCTGGGGTGTGTGTGGAGGGGGCTTGCCTGGAATTAGCCCGGGCATTAGAATAGGTGTGTGCACGCGCGCAAGTGAGTTCAAGTGGGACCGGGTAAAGGGCTTGCTTGGGAACTAAGGAGTGGAGAAAGTACGCCAAGAAGTGGACGTCCGAGCGGGCAGAAAAGTTTGCCAGTAGCACGAGAAAAAGGGTTCACTCGGAGAGGCTGCCTCCTTCCCTCCCGGACCTGCGAGGGGGGAGGGCGACTCCTCTTCACCCCAGCGGCCCAGGTTCCTCTAGCTTCCGCCGCGCCTGACCCACGAGGGCGCGATCAGGGGCAGGGTAGACCCGCCACCTGGGGCCCTGATTGCAGGTTGGGGAGACAGGCAGGCGCACCCAGCCGGGGACCGTACGGGCCGACCGCGCAGGATTTGGAGGCCGGTGCACATTTTGCTTTGTTTTGGTTTTATCCAAAGTGGCCTGTATTGTACGGGGGCGGACGGGCCGAGGCAGTGTCTCCGACACGTGCGAAGGGGCGGCCACCGCCTGTGCAGCGCGGGCGTCCAGCCGCGCCGGTCGGCCTAAAGTTCAAGTGTGACCCTCGGCGGGGGCGGAGGCAGGCAGCGGCGAGGGAGGGGCCGCGGGCGCAGGAAGCGGGCGCCTTTAAAGGGCCAGTACGTCCGGCCCGCGGGGCCAGCACTTTTCCACGTGGGGAAGCGCCCCCGAACTTGGTTTTGGCTTTGGTACGATGCTTTTAATTCCGAGGCTGCTCCGGGTGACCGGGGCTCAGACTTGTGTGTGTGTGTGCGCGCTTTCTTTTTGTCTTGCCACCTCTGTGTTGCCGAGCAAAGAGGTGCAGACGAGGACTAGGACAAGGACGTATGTTTTGGGGAAGTCAAAGTGGAGGTGCTGCTTAGAAAACTGGCAAGGAATCTCCTGTCTTGTTGGAGGATTGCACATTTGTAGACGAGGCGCCTCGGGCCATTTTGGCTCTTCCGAGCGGGAAGGGCAGAGAGTTTGGGTGAGACTCCGGGTCAGGGCTGGGACATACTGCCCAGTGCGTGGCAGGCCCCGGGTCCCTTGGTGGAGGCGCTGGGGGGCTTACCCGGAGGTTCACTTGCTGTGCCGCCTCTCAAGCTGTTAACTTTCTCACTGTCACAGGGCTCTCCAGTTGAACAGACACCTTTCTCATTTCTCACTCCTCATCTTGATTGGTACAGCACTATAAAGATCAGTCTTTGCCTCTCAGTTGCTACACCAAGGTGGTTTTACATAAAACACTGTCATCTTTGTGGTTAATGTGTGTCAAAAAGGTCAAGTTACTCATGGAAGTTCCTGGAGAAGGAGCCAAGAGTTATTTTATTTTTTCCAGTGTGTTTTAGAGTAAAAGTATCACTTATAGCTCGTTAGGCATTATATGCAATTTTACTAAGTGTTTGAAAAAGTAAAAAGCCTCCTTACTTTAAACTTGACCTGTTATTTATATATTCTAAGTTACAAAATAGGGATCGTTTGCCAAATTAACATTTGAGTTTAAGTACTTGACTGACTTGCTCATCTATCAATCCTACTTAAGTGGTTATAAAAGCATTTGCCACACACACACAAAAAAAAGCCATTTTTTTGGCATTCAAAGTACAGTGTTTACTTACACCATTCTTTTAAGTCCTTGGAAATACATAGAACCTACTTAAGCTTGCTGGAGTGCCTTTAAAGATAAAGGCAATGTTTTGGGTTATTTTTAGTTTTACCTCTTAAATGGCATTGTCAGGGTATTCGTAAACTAGTAATGTAACTTAATTTTTTTAGATTTTTTTTTTAAAACATATTACATAAACAAGAACCATTTTATTAGGTTCTTGTTTTGACTTTTTAAATGCAAGTGTAATTTATTTTTAAAGATTTTGCTCACTGGAGCTAGGAGAGCACTATGAAGTGTTAAGACTGTCAGAATTGGAGGCCCGGCTGCAGCTCTCAGTGCCTCTTTTGGGGCTTGGGAGGGAGGAGGCTGCCTTTCTCAAAGAAGTTTGTTTTCAGGTGTAATGAGAGTCAGTTGGTGCAAGTCAGATTACAGCAAGTACGTTTTCAGTTTGAGTAGAAGGGTTATTTTAAAAAGAAACAACCTGAACTGTTCTAACTCATCACTAGTCTTTTGGTTAGAGTTTTCATAAAAATGAGTTACTTGTTAAAACCAAGTTTCACTCTCAGATCTGAAAGACTCTTAGTCTGAAAATTCACAAAGGGAGAAATTTTACTGTGACTTTTAAACTTACAAAATCCAGTTCTAAAATGCAAATCAACCTGAACTTAACTGTTTTAGGACGAGGAGAGACTGCTTTGGAACCAAATATTTCCTGTGATTTACTGCTGGGAATTCGACTGAATCTTCAATTAAACAGTTTCTTGTGCTCTATTTCCTGGGGCCTGCCTGAGAATTTGAAAGTCTTTTGCATAGGACAGAATAGTTGGAAAGCTGTTAGTGTCTGCAAACTTCTTTTAAAGTAATTCCTTAGTTAAGCACTGGGATATCTTTTCATGTTTCATGTTTGTGGACAACTGTTTACACTTGTTTTAATATTGGCCAGAACGGTCATAAGTTACAGGAAAAGCGGAACCTAACTCTTGTGGAAAACCCGGGATCTTTTAAACCTAGCGCAGTATTTATAAATAGTGAAACTTGATTTCCATGACCTGTTTTCTCACATAGAACTTTCTAATTTTTTTTAATGGCAGTTTTGAGTAACTGTTGCATTTTGTTTCGGTATTATTTGGGATACAGTTAAGAGAATGCTTTGACTTTAACATTTACGATTTATTAGAGATTTTTAGATTGTTTTATTCTGAATATCTTGTGTATTTAATTTAGAACGAAGTTTTCTTAATTTGGCCTGTGAAAATATAGTACATTTCCTAATATTTAAAAGTGTATCTCTGTTCTATAATTTTGGCTTTGAATCCTCTGCAGGTGAATAGCTGGAAGAAATCCCATTAGGAAGATGGCTGTTTTCTTGCAGACAGTCACCTTTGACTTAAAACATTCCTGCACAGATTGATTTAGAGGACCTCAGGCACCTTTTGTACTTGTGGTTTATTTGTTCCTGAAATTACCTTAAGGAAAACCATTTTTATAGTTAGGTAAAGAATTCAATATAGTATTTGGGGAAGAGTGAGTGAAGAACAAGAATTAAAAGTGGGTAGGAGTTTTATGCAGCCAACTGTGATGTCTCACTTGTTAAAGGCTGAAGGTTACCTGAGTCTGCTGTGAGCATGTTGTATGGCTGAAACATTGTGTTCAGAAATTTGAGGCACATGTTGTAATCTCAGCACTCAGGAGTCCAAGGCAAGAGGATTATGAGTTTGAGGCCAGCCTGAGCTGTACAGTGAGTCCTGGTCTGGAAAAAAAAAAGAAAGAAAAGAATATAGATGCCAAATGTATGAATGCCTTATTTGAAACACACAAGAACTTTATTTTTTACTTTTCACCTATAGTTTTGTACAAATCTTGGTTGGGAGATGATAGGAAGGGTAATTGTCAGCTTCTTTTTTTTTGAGTCAGGATCTTAATATGTAGGCCAAGATGGACTCAAACTCACCATCCTTCCCTTCTCCCTTAGTCTCCTAGTACTGGGATTATAGACATGAGCCATAAGGACCATCTTTCAGCATTTTTTTTTTAAAGTGGCAAGCATTTGCATATTGAAAAGGAGGTATTTTGATTGAAGAAGAGTTCAAGTTCTTTGAGACCTGTCAGTTGCCAGCAGACAAATATCACTGGGTTTCATGCTCAGCACAGGGGATCTTCTTGGTGGTTACATGAAATAGGGATGAAGGCAAAGGATATTCTGTGCTCAGTTAAAAGTCCCAGGTAGGCCACAAATGTTCTTCCTTTCCTGTGTGTGCCTCTCACCTCTTCTAAACTGCAATTTTGTATGAGGACTTTCTAAGAGAGCAGCTCTGCATTTGCCTGGAATTTCTTTGGGAGAGCCAAAGTGTTATTGGAACACTCTGCTCTTAGAAACTATAGAAACTATGCGCAGTACCCTGGCATTATGGGAATTTACTCAGCTTTTTTTTTTTTTTTTTTTTTTGTGGGGGGTAATATGTATGATGTAGCTTTGGGGCTTCCTAGAATATTCTTGCAAAGACTGGTATAAGCCTCATAATGATTAGGCAGGGCAAAGAGTTTTGCCCTGCTGAGTTTTCAGTTGCATGGAGGACAGTAGGTTTGTCCCTTCTTTCCTGCAGCGCAAGGCTTACTTTGGTCTTTATAGCTACAACTTGTAGAGACTTGCCCAAAGCCCCAGAACCTCCCTTGGGTCAGATAGCCACCTTTTCTTGGTGCATACAAAATTCTGAAGTGCATGGTGTTATTCCTCAGTTGTAAACAGAGGACAAGATGAACTTGAAAAAATGTTCATTTTGATGTCTAAGGGATGAAGGCTTGTATTCTGATGGATATGCTATGTACAGACATTCAGATGTAGAAGAATTCTTCACACTGACAAGGACCAATAAAAATCAAGTCAGTGGCATAGAAACATTCTTTACAGAGAATACATGTTATTTATCTTCTAGGAAACATATGAAACAGGAAAACACATTTTTGTACATCAGTAATTTTGTATGGTTCAACCTTTAAACAAACAAACAAACACACTCCCCCCCCCCATCAATCAGTCTGTGGTTTATCAACTTTTGAGTAGAACACTGCAAATATTGAATCTTGGTTTGATTATTCTTGTCATTTGAGAGACATTTGGGCCACCTTTTTCTCTTTTTATCCATCCTTGTGTAGTTTTGATAAAAACTAAAAAAATCAAAATAGAAAAGCAAACCCTTTCCAGTATGTCATTTAGTGAATTTTTACCTTCCCACATTACTTATATAA